ACAAGGGGTCACAGCTCAAGATTGAAGAAGCCGGAAAATCGTGAGGGCCAACTTTTTCGGAGTGAGGGTTGTAAATTGTTGGAACAATCTACCAGAGTGTTGTGACGGCATCGAGTGTGAGCTCTTTGAAGAGAAGACTTGACCAACACTGGAGCGGGTTCAGGTACATTGAGGAGCCGGTGCATGCCCAGTATTTGACAACAGTGCGTGACCGATTGCCCGGGCAGCTAGCGAGCTGACCTTTTGGTGAAGAATATAAAGGAAAAGAGACGTGACCAAGCGGCTAACAAGCCGATCAGTGGCGAAGAGGATAAAAGTAAAGTCGAACGTTTTGAATGTAGTCAGCTAAAGATGCATCTAACTGACCCTGGGTCTCGTGCTCGCAATTTTACTTGTGAATACTTAGGCTGTATGTAAAGGTGATTGTGATTGGTGGATGTGTTTTGGGTTGTATGACTTTTAGGAAAATGATTAAGGGAAAGGTAGAATTTTTTTGTAATAAAATAATCCTTGTTATTTAAAGTCATGGGAAGTTAAGATATGTTGGTATATTTGGTTAAATAGTGAAGAAAATTGTATTAATGAGAGTTTTGTAGTGGGTGTTTTTTTAAGATTTTGTAGTAGTTTATTTTCAGAAAATAGCAACCGCAAGGAAGTCGCAGTGGGCTGCCGCATGAGCGTTAAGTTGGAGCCAACTAGCGTGGGAAAGGTTGATTTTTGCAGAGACGTGACCGGCACAGAGGTAGACCCCGAATTTGGAGTTTAGGTGAATGAAATTGTTGAATGGGTGTTGTGTTTGTGCTGTTATATACTGGAGGCTATATAATGGTACTACACTCTCGGTTGTGTGTGTTTATGGTCGTATTTTGTTGTCGTCTGTTAGTTTTATACGCAGACTAGAGTGTTCTTAATTGTTATTGTGTATGTGCTTTTGTTTAATTAATTTTGACTAGTTTGTTGTAAATTTTGAAGGTTGATGCCTTTTATTGCAGGTGTACGGAAGGCTTATACTGTGGAATAGAGAAGAGAACGTGGTCTAAGTTTGTAGGTGATGGCTAGCGCGTCTACACTTGCGGTGAGGAATTCGTCAATATGGTATTTAAAATGGAAGGTGTAGTTGTGTTTGACTAAAGAGAAGTTGTAGCTGTAATATGAAAATTGAGAAGTGGTTCATGGCTAATATATTTGTATTGAGAATTAGTGTAAGTTTTATTGGTTAGGTAATAAATGCTTTTTTCAGGTTGTTGTTGTTGGAGGTGGAAGGAGCCGGTATTTTTTTGAGGTAGACTAGGGGAATAGTGAGGGTAAGTGACGTTGAAGTTTGTAAAAGAGTTGTTAAATTTTCAATTGATTTTTGGTCTTGTGCCGTAGAGCAATAGAAATGTTAAAAGTTGACATTAAAATAAATGATTGTGGCTTGAGTTTGGTCATGTTAAGTTTAAAATGTTGAATTTTGTGCCTCGGCTGTAGATTAAAGAAAATGTAAATGAGTTTTGATAAGTTGAGTTTATTATATAGTAGTGAGAAAGATTTGATAAATGGATAACGAATGACCTTTTTTTTTCAGGTTGGGGTCTGGTGGTGGTCCTCGGTTCTCTAGTGCACCCAAAAGTGCCTAGAGATGGGCACGGGGAGACATAAGTGAGGTGTATAAACCTGTGAAAGGGCACTACTTAGTCGAGGAACCGTACCCATAGCTGACTGACGCCCGCCTCACAAGGGGTCACAGCCGAAGTGGGGGTGCCGGCGGTAGAGCGGTACCGCTCTCGCCTCGCAAGCGGGACGTCTCGGGTTCGATTCCCGGGCCGGTGGAAAGTGGGTTGGACACACTTCCTAGACCCCCTGTGTCCCTGTTGACCTAGCAGTAAAGTAGGTACCAGTTGTAAATCGAAAGTTGCGAATTCGTATCTGGGGAAAGTCGTCGGAGCTAGCCGACAAAATGTTAAAGACTGGAGGGTTGTATGCTCTTGACATAAAATGCTATGATCCTTTAGGCAAGCACAAAGTTGGCATGCTGCCTAGTTGGGCGGTGTAGGCGCTTGTGCCCTTCACCTTGCATGGGAATAAGGGGGGATGCCCCTCGGCCCCTCCCATTCTCAAAAAGTGTGATAATGAGAAATCGAAAAATGTTAGAGTAGAATATAGTGTTGTGTTGACTGTATCGACTAACCAAGAGGACGTATGGTCGCCATCCAGAGGTGGGGGAGAAGTCGATGTTGGAAAGGAGCCAAGTGTTGTAACCAGTCGCCCTGTGCAGCATGTGCTAAAAGGTAATGTATACTGTTAAGTGGTTGAAGGTGGGGTGTGTTTGATATGAAAATGAAGAGGGACTTTGGTCGTGGTTATTGATGTGGTAATTGTTTTGTACAGGAGTTGTTGCAGTCCAGAAGACGTGATTGGTGTGTGATAATCCAGAGGGACATTAATGCTCGACTGAATTTTGGAAATGAGAGGCAGTAAATGTGTAAGTATTGTTTATTGAAGTTGTACGTATACTTTGTTATAATTTGAAGAGTAGAGCATTTGTAACATTGACGTTTTGTTTTCATGTTGGTGGTGGAGGAATATGGGCGAATTGTGGAGAGGAGCGCGTCGACACTGGATACGGTGATGTGAAATTGTGCAATGTATTATTTGAAGGTGAGTTGTTATTGTATTTGAAAGTTGTAGGTAAAGTTTGTTATAAGAGGCAAGTGATATAGGAGTTTTTTCGGGTAGCAGTACCCAGTGATGTTTAAAGTTGGGAGAAATAAGCATGGTGCATTATGGAGGTTGTGTGAAAGGTTTATGTTTTTCAGGTTTGAGGATGGAGTGGTGGTGGGTAGTGCCGTAACCAGGTTGGAGAAAGGGTGGACTACTATATGTATGGGGCTGTGCAATGGACTGTGTTGAGGAGAAGAAGCAGCAGCAGCGGTGGTAGTTGTTGAAGTCCAGAAGACGTGATTGGTGTGTGATAATCCAGAGGGACATTAACGCTCGACTGAATGTTGGAAATGAGAGGCAGTAAAGGTGTAAGTATTGTTATTGAAGTTGTACGTATACTTTGTTATAATTTGAAGAGTAGAGCATTTGTAACATTGACGTATTGTTTTTTGTTTTCATGTTGGTGGTGGAGGAGCGCGTCGACACTGGATACGGTGATGTGAAATTGTGCAATGTATTATTTGAAGGTGAGTTGTTATTGTATTTGAAAGTTGTAGGTAAAGTTTGTTATAAGAGGCAAGTGATATAGGAGTTTTTTCGGGTAGCAGTACCCATTGATGTTTAAAGTTGGGAGAAATAAGCATGGTGCATTATGGAGGTTGTGTGAAAGGTTTCTGTTTTTCAGGTTTGAGGATGGAGTGGTGGTGGGTAGTGCCGTAACCAGGTTGGAGAAAGGGTGGACTACTACATGTATGGGGCTGTGCAATGGACTGTGTTGAGGAGAAGAAGCAGCAGCAGCAGGGGCGGCGGCGGTAGCAGCAGTGGCGGCAGTTGTTTAAGATAAGTAGTGTGGTGTGGTGCATCGTGAATTGTTTGTGATAGTTTAGGGTCATAGTGAATTTAGTTGTAAGAAATTGAGTATAATGTAATTGTTGGAAGACGTGTATAGTGATGTAAATTGTAGGTTAGTTTTGGATTAGTATATGTGGAGAATGGATGTAGCAGGTAATAGAAATGTTGGGACTAGTGTAGAGGCATATATATATAATTGGTGAGTGGCGTTGGAGCGGTTTAGGGCGTGAAAGGTTTATGAATTGTTGTGGGGGAACTAATGTGTTGATGTGTTTGTTTTTTTAGGCCGGATTGGAGTGGTAAGCGGCAGTGATGGTGGAAGAGCCAGTGGTTATTCGGCGACGGAGATGGGAGCGAAAGGGTAAGGAGCCGATTGTTTGTGTTAAAGAGGAAGCGTTTGTTTGAATTTGGTTAAGATGAAAGGTGAATTTGTTGTGGGTATGTATTGTAATTGTATAGAAGTTAGTTGGTAGCAGGCTAGTATTGTTGTTACACACTGGAGGCTGTGTAATGATTGGTACTAGCCTTGGTGAATGGTTTGTAGTAGAGTATGTGTATGTTGGTATTTGTAGCGGTTTAAAAGGAAGCAATTTGGTTTTGGTAGATATGTCTAAGAGAGTGTTGTTGATCGTGAAGGAGAGTGGATGCATGAACACTTTTTGGAATGGTGTTTATTATGGATGTTTTTTTTTCAGTGGAGCGAGTGGTGTAGGGTATGTTCCTCGTGGTAAGAGTAAGGAAGGAGATGACCAAGTATTGTGCATTTACCTCGGCGGTTACGAAGAAAGGAAGAGGCACGTCGACGACGGAGCCGGGAATAACCGCGGAGGTTGCTCCATACCAAGAGATAGTGTTTTTGTGGGTGAATTATTTGAGCAATGGGAAATGATAGTTTGCCTAGAAGTGTGGCCGTGAAGTGTATATTGTAGGTAGTATAAGAAGAGCACCATGAAGAGTTTCCCGAGTGACGAAGCCGACGGGTGCACTGCCTCGTAGGTATAATGCATTTGATAGAAAAGGCCATTACGAGTTGACCTCCATTGTTGTGTTTTGTCGGTTTCAGATTGAAGCGACGGGGCGAAGTCAAGTCGCTGTAAGGAGCCGAGAAGATGATGTCCTGTTAAAGTATAACCGTCGTCCCTGTGACTGGAGCCGAGAAGAAGGCGTGCTGTGAACGTATAGCCGTCGTCCCATTGACTGGGGTGTATGGAGCCGAGAAGATGGTGTCCAGTGAATGTATAGGTGTCTGTGACTGGAGCTGAGAAGATGTCCCATGAACTTCTAGCCGTTGTCCTTGTGACCGGGGTGTATGGAGGCGAGAATATGGTGTCCAGTGAATGTATAGCTGTCGTCTCTGTGACTGGAGCCGAGAAGATGTCCCGTGAACTTCTAGCCGTCGTCCCTGTGACTGGAGCCGAGAAGATGTCATGTGAACCTAATAGCCGTGGTTCTAGTGACCGGGGTGTATGGAGCCGAGAAGATGGTGTACAGTGAATGTATAGCTGTTGTCCCTGTGACTGGAGCAGAGAAGATGTCCTGTGTTCCAGTGACCGGGGTGTATGGAGCCGAGAGGATGATGTCCTGTGAAGGTATAGGTGTCGTGACTGGAGCCGAGAAGATGTCCTGTGAACCTAATAGCCGTGGTACCAGTGAGGGGAGAAGATGATGTCCTGTGAACGTATAGCCGTCGTCCCATTGACCGGGGTGTATGGAGCCGAGAAGCTGGTGTCCAGTGAATGTATAGCTGTCGCGTGAACTTCTAGCCGTTGTCCTGGGTGTATGGAGCCGAGAAGATGATGTTCTGTGAATGCATAGGTGTTGTCCCTATGAAGATGATGTACTGTACTGTATTATATTGCTAAGTGTATAGAATATATGTATTTGAGTTGAATTTTGTGTTTTCTTTATTGCCTGATGTGCATTTTGAGTGACACATAAGGTAGAAGATGACGACGACAAGTGATTAGGCACCAGAAGAAGTGGAGCGACATGAGAAGATGAAGGTAATGTGTGAAGAATTGAGATTAGTTAATGTAATATGATTATATGTAAAGTAAAGTAAAGATGTTGAAATGCATCATTGAGTTTAGTTGATGTAATATGATTATATGTAAAGTAAAGTAAAGATGTTGAAACGCATCATTGAGATAATATGATTATATGTAAAGTAAAGTAAAGATGTTGAAATGCATCATTGATGTAATATGATTATATGTAAAGTAAAGTAAAGATGTTGAAACGCATCATTGATGTAATATGATTATATGTAAAGTAAAAAAGATGTTGAAATGCATTGAGATTAGTTAATGTGTTGAATAATTTGACTTGTAATGCTGTTTTTGTTTCTCCCTTTTCTGACAGGTACACGGGAACACATGTGGTGTTGTTTAGAGTGTTTATTGAGCAACAAAGGTGATTTTTCAACTGAGAGAGTAGTTATTCCTCATTGGTTGTGAGTTGGTGTTTTGATGTTTGTTTGCAAACAAAAGCTCGGACATTGTCGATCTATCACACGACTAGTCCATAGACACGATATCTGTGTCGAGAGAGCTTTATGACTAAACCTATTGTTGGTACTGACATAATTGTCAGTATTGACAATATGGTTAAAGTCAGTTTGCAAACAAAACATAAAATACTAACTTAAAACTAATTTGGAATAACTACTTTCTTTCAGTTGAAAAATCACCTTTGTTGCTCAATAAACACTCTAAAAAAACTTATTAAAAAAAAGAAGGGATGGCTGGAGCCTATCTTAATAATAAGATAGTGAATTTGAAAAAAATCCCGTTTTCTGTTCACTTGGAGAAAATGGGAAACCATCAAAGAAAATGGGAAATTTCTCTGGCTCCAAAACTACCGTTTTCTATGACATCCCGTTTTCTACAACATCATGCTTTGCTTCTCCAAATCCAATATGGCTGTATGTTAACTTAGGAAAAATAAAGACATTGATTATATACTTTCTTTTATTATGCTCAAAATATTTCTATGTCCACATACATGAAAAATATACAGTCCACAAATAATGAAAAAATTTCTAAGTCCACAACACAACAAAAAAATACTAAGTCCACACAACAAAAAAATACTAAGTCCACAACACATGAAAAAAATACTAAGTCCACACAACAAAAAAATACTAAGTCCACACAACAAAAAATTACTAAGTCCACACAACAAAAAAATACTAAGTCCACAACACATGAAAAAAATACTAAGTCCACACAACAAAAAATTACTAAGTCCACACAACAAAAAAATACTAAGTCCACAACACATGAAAAAAAACTAAGTCCACAACATGAAAATTTTTCTATGTCCACAAAAAACGAAAAATTTACTAAGTCCACACAACCAAAAACATACTTAGTCAACACCACAAAAAATACTAAGTCCACACACCATGAAAAATTTTCTAAGTCCACAAAGGATGAAAAATTTTCTAAGTCCACATGACATGAAAAAAAACTAAGTCCACAACATGAAAATTATTCTATGTCCACAAACAACGAAAAATTTTCTAAGTCCACACAACAACAAAAAATACTAATTCCACACATGAAATTATTATAAGTCCATAAAGGATGGAAAATTTTCTAAGTCCACAACACAGGAAAAAAAACTAAGTCCACACAACAACAAAAAAATACTAAGTCCACAACACATGAAAAAATACTAAGTCCACAAAAAAAAAAATACCAAGTCCACACAACATGAAAAATTTCTAAGTCCACAAAGAACGAAAAATTTGTTAAGTCCACATGACATGAAAAAAACCCAAGTACACACATGAAAATATTCTAAGTCCACAACACAGCAAAAACAACTAAGTCCACACACCATGAAATTTTTCTAAGTCCACAACATGAAAATTTTTCTATGTCCACAAAGAACGAAAAATTTGTTAAGTCCACATGACATGAAAAAAACCCAAGTACACACATGAAAATATTCTAAGTCCACAACACAGCAAAAACAACTAAGTCCACACACCATGAAATTTTTCTAAGTCCACAACATGAAAATTTTTCTATGTCCACAAAGAACGAAAAATTTACTAAGTCCACACAACCAAAAACATACTTAGTCAACACCACAAAAAATACTAAGTCCACACACCATGAAAAATTTTCTAAGTCCACAAAGGATGAAAATTTTTCTAAGTCCACAACATGAACATTATTCTATGTCCACAAACAACGAAAAATTTTCTAAGTCCACAACACAGGAAAAAAAACCAAGTCCACACAACAACAAAAAAATACTAAGTCCACACACCATGAAAATTTTCTAAGTCCACACAACATGAAAATTTTCTAAGTCCATAAAGGATAAAAAAATTTTCCAAGTCCACAAACATAAATTAGTCCAATTCCACAAGAGGAAAAAAAACTAAGTCCACAAACAAAGACAATATTTCAAAGCACAAAATATGAAAAATATACCAAGTCCACACACATTGAAAATTATTACAAGTCCACAGGATAAAATAATACTAACTCCACAACATATGAAAATTTTTCTAAATCCACAAACAATGACAATATTTCCAAATACAAAAACAAACAATAAAATAATACAAAGTCCACAAACATCAACAATATAATAAGTCCACAATCGATGACAATTATTCAAAGTCCACATACATTAAAAGTTATTCTAAGTCCACAAACATTGAAAATTATTACAAGTCCACACAAGTTAAAATAATACTAACTCCACAACATATGAACATTTATCTAAGTCCACAAACAATGAAAATTTTTACAAGTCCACACACGATACAAAATTAGTCCCGGTCCACGGACGTAATACATTAATACGGAGCCACAGACGATAAAACATTTTCTATATCCACAAAATATTCAAAGTCCACAAACGATAAAATAATAACAAGTCCACAAACATACCAACTACACATACACAAAGGCTAAAATAATACTAACTCCACAAACATCATAAATTATTCCAAGTCCACATACATTACAAATTATTACAAGTCCACAGAGGATACAAATTATTCTAAGTCCACACAACATGACAA